AGGCCGGGGTGGTGGGGCGGTGGGGGTATAGGGGTGGGCTGTGGACCCGACCCCTGGCCTCACACCTTCTCCCTGCCAGGCTCCCGCTTCGAAGAGGAGGAGCTGCAGCGGCTGAGGCTGGTGGACAGCATCAAGAACTACCGCGCCCGGGCGGTGAGTGTGACCCACGCTCTGGCTCAGTGGTGCCCAGATACCTGGGTCACACAGGGGCAGCTGTGAACCCCTAGCGGGACCCCAGTGGGGATTTTCACCAAGATCTGTCAGCAGGAACCTCTATTGCCGCCCCAGGTTCCAGAACTATCCCTGGCCCACAGGGAACCATTCCCTCTTACGTGGCTTTCCAAGGGAGTGACATGGCCTCAGCCTGTCGTGCCTGCGCCTCTTGACTCCCTCTGGGCACCCTGTATTGTGCCTGTGGAAGGGTTGCACAGGAGCAAGGAAAGACCTGCTTGGCGAGGCTGCCAGACAGCTAGTGTCAGGAAAAGAGCTGGAGAGAGTCATGGTCAAGAGCGCAGGTCTCAGAGCCAAATGGACTGGGTTGACGAGCTCTGACTTTTCCCAGCTTTGTGGCCTTGGGCAGGTTACCTGCCCTCTCGGGGTCTCCCTTTCTAATTGCAAAGTGCAGATAATGAGAGGACTCTCCTCGGACAGTGGGGAAGACGGGGGCAGGCTCGCAGCGAGCCCACCACGGGGTGAGGGTGGGATCGGGCTGGGGCTGGTGGGCAGAGGACTTGGTGCTCCCTCCGCAGACCATCTTTGAGATCAATGCCTCCAGCCAGGACCTGAGCAGCCAGGTGATGCGTGCCAAGCGGCAGAAGGACCACAAGGCCATTGCCCGCTTCCAGCAGGGGAGGCAAGAGCGGCAGGAGGGCCTGGTGGGCCCAGCTGGTCCAGCCCCTGGTCTCCCAGCACCGCAGGAGGAGCGACCCGAGAAGGAAGAGGAGGGCGACACAGCAGAGAGCGTGGAGGTACAGGCCCCACCCTGGGGACCCCGGACCCTGGACGTGGGTTGGGGAAGGGGTGGCTTAAGTCCTGGCAATCTGTAGGGCTGTCCTCAGGGTTTTGAGCAGTGGTTGGTGGATGGATGCAGTGACACAGAACCTCAGCGTCCCTGTCTGTGGAATGGGGATATAGTATCCATCCACTGTCCCCATCTAAAACCCCGGGCCAGATACATCTCGGTACTTGGGGCTTTTAGCGTGCGGAGCTGCGTCTGACGTGGGCTGGGGAGTGTTGCTGGCCATCAAGTACCTCAGGGGTTCTGCAGCAAGATGTGTGAGTCTCCACACTGAGGCGCTGGGCACAGGCTAGCTGGCCTTCTATTGGCTGAGGCGGGCCACCGAGGAATTTTGGGAAAGTTCATTTCTGTCACAGCTGAGTGGCTGTGGTTCCTGTCTCGCTGGCCTGCTGTGCAGATGCTGTGCCAGTGTGTGAAGTCCCACGGGCACCTGATGGTGTCAGCTGTGTCACTGTCAGTCCCCTCCCTGAGGTTCGGGGCAGGAGGGGAGGGGTAGAGGAGGTACTGTGGGCAGCAGCCCAGGCATGATGTGGATGGTGACAGAGCCTGGGTCTTTGTGCAGGAGGCAGGGCTGGAAGGCTGTGAAGTGTCCTGTACACCTGGGGGACATGTCCTGGGCTTGTATGTCCACCAGTATGTTTCTCCCTCGGGTTTCATTAGTTGAAAAGCTCCATGTGGTACAGAGCAGGCCAGGCCATGAGGGACAGGGCTGTGCCTCAGTCACACAGCCGGGGGGACCGAGCTGGGCTGGGAATATGGATTTCCCCCGGGGGTCAGCCACCTACCCCCCCACCTGCCTCTGCTAGTCCTGAGGCAGATGTTGTGCTGCGTGTGCAGATGGGGAAACTGAGGGTCCCACAGGAGACCCGTCACTCAGCTAGTAAATGGCAACGCCTGACCCCTCACTGGCTGGGCTGGTAGCTGGGAAGGCCGAGTGGGCTCCCCGGAGGCCACAGGCGTGACACTGGGCCTTGGTCTGCAGGACATCTTCACAGAGGTTGTGGGCCAGAAGCGGCAGCAGCCAGGACCTGACAGGGGAGCCAAGAAGCGGAGGTTGGAGGCCCGGCAGCGGGACCAGGAGTTCTACGTCCCCTACCGGCCCAAGGACTTTGACAGCGAGCGGGGGTGAGTGACCTGCTAGGGCAGGCAGGCAGGGCCCGCTGGGTCGGGCAGGCAGGGCCCGCTGGGCCACCGTCTACCTGATTGTGTTTCCCCACCCTCTGCAGGTTGAGCGTCAGCGGGGACAGGGGAGCCTTTGAGCAGCAGGTGGCCGGTGCTGTCCTGGACCTGATGGGGGACGAAGCCCAGAACCTGACCAGGGGCCGGCAGCAGCTCAAGTGGTAAGTCAGCACGCCCCTCATGCCCCACTTCTTGCCGCCTGGCCGTACCCAGCAGGCGGGTGCTCCCATGTCCTGGCTCCAATTTAATCCTGCACAGCTCAAATTATGACCCTGTGTGTCCCCCATGTGGCCACTCACAAAAGGGTGATGGCCCTTGGCTCTCCTATCCCCTTGATTGATCACACATGACAGAGAGCTTGACCACATCTGTCCTTTTTGCTGGCAGGCCTTTCTAGGCAGGGCTCATGACCCATTTTGCTCATGAGGACTGTGGAGTCCAGAGAAATTACGTGACTTAGTGCAGGGTCACAGAGCCAGGAAGTGACAGGATTGGAAACCCTCGAGGAGCCCTCATCCCTGACCCAGGCCCTCTGAGCCCCACGTAGCCCTTTTGAGACCTGGGCAGCCAGGGAAAGATGAAGAGGAGTAGGGAATGAACCTTTCTGACCACCAAGTGCATGCCAGACATAGCTGCGCTGCTTTTCTTTAATGCTCCGACCACCCGATGAGAGGGTTAGATGAAGAGACACACCCCTAGCGGAGCCGGGCGCTCCAAGCCACCTCCCTCCAACTCCCTCCCTCTCCCACAGGGACCGGAAGAAGAAGCGGTTTGTGGGACACTCGGGCCAGGAGGACAAGAAGAAGATCAAGACGGAGAGCGGCCGCTACATCAGCAGCTCCTACAAGCGGGACCTGTATCCCGAGGGGCGGGGCCTGGGGCGGGGCCTAGA